GCAGGGGCTTCCTTCGCTTACCTCCCCTACAGTGGCAGGAGGGGCCTGGCCTAGAACAAGGGCTCGCAAGCTGTCCGAAGGGAGGCAATGAGCCTCCTCTTTAGGTGTTCCTGTAGCCCCTTTTTGGGATCCCATGGCTGTCTTGTGTCCAGGGGCCCCTGGGGCTCAGGCTGGTGTGACCCTGCTGGCTGCTTGGACAGCCTGGGTTCTGACTTGGCAGGAAAGTGATGCTCACCCCACTCCTGGGCAGAGAGCACACACCTCCCAGATGGTTTAGGTTGTGCAAACGCCCTCTGCGTGCTGTTCCCTGCCATGGGAGGAAGAAGTCTTGTAGACTCTGGGGATTCCCACAGGTGGGGCCCCACCAGGGTGCGGCTCCAGCAAAAATGGGGCCACGGTAAACCTAGCAGAGATGCTGCGGCATGTCGGGTCAGATGCAATCACCAGGAGCTTAAGAGAAAATAAAAGAAATCAGTTTTCTTTAAGCGTTGGGGAGAAGGTCAGGTTTCATTGGGTGCCTATCAGTTCCCTGCTGGTCCCCAAGAAGCCAGCCACAGCTGCATCCGGGGTGGGGGGCGGGGAGGTCCTCCCTCACCCAGCAGCTCACTTGCACGTAGCAGACAATATGAACATGTATTGAATGAATGAACAGATGTCCAAAGGAAAACATTCTGAATCTTTTATCCCCCGACTTTCAGAAATTCACACCAGTTTGTCAGTCATGCAGCAAAAGGAAATAACAGATTTCTCAGGACAGCCCTAGTTTCAAGTTAACATCAGTGATAGACTTTTGTGTACCAGGTCCTGGGCTAGACAAGTATGCAAAGAAGTAAATCGTGGTCCTGACTTCAAAGGGAGTGGGAGTGGGAGACCCAAGGGGCCTGTCCAGTGTGATCCGGGCTGGGATGTCAGACCTGCAGGGCCTGGGGCAGCAGGAGGTGGGTGAGCGTGGGGAGGTGAGCAGGGCAGAGTCAGAGGGTCCTGGGTGCCAGCTTAAGGGGTTAGGCCTTTACCCTGTGGACCAAGGGCCACCAGTGAAGGATTTCAAACAAATGGCTGGTCAGATCTGAAACCCGTCCTGCTGTGAAAACACATCTGAGGTAGGTGGAGTGTCCGAAGCTAGCAAGGCACACGCTTCCTCAGACTCTGACTTCTGTCCGCTGAAAAGGCAGGCGAGGGGAAGCAAAGCATCCCTACAATCAATGCGCCAGGCAAGTGAGCGCCTGCTTCAAGCCCTGGACAGAGGCCACCCCTTCTCTGCAATGTTCAATGTGGCCACTGACCAGCCGCAGGGCCCTGCTGGGCTCCCGGAGGCCCTGACCCACTTCCTGCCAGGTGGCCCTTGTCCCAGCACCTCCCAGGGAGCCGCACCAGGGCGGAGGCTGGGTGGGGCGGTGATGCAACAGTGCTTCGTAACACAAACGTCCTGGGGTTTCCACTGGTGTCTTTGGCTTCTGACAGGTATTTTTGGGGATGCTCCACTTCTCCGATGACGCCTGTGTGGTTCAGAGCGAGGAGGGCCTCCCTGGAAGCTCCCGGCTGCCCCAGGCACATCATTTGGAAATTGGCAAAGACATACACTTTCCGCCTCGGAGGGTGGATTGGACTTTTGGAAACACCTAAAACAACTCAAGGGCAGGGCTGGAGGGTTAATGAGTGACTGAACTTCCGAGCTCTATTTTTGGTCATATGTCCACACGTGACTAGCCGTGTGCTGTGACTGAGTCCCATTTCCCTGAGTTAGTGGCACCCTGGCAGGACAGGTCCCAACGTCCTCCTGTGGCCGGATGTCACGAACCTCACTCCACAGTCAACTCTTACTACACTCCTGGGAAGAAACTTGGTGTGGAATATGACCATGGACACGTGGACCAGACACAAACCCATTTTCCAAAAAGTTCTCGATGTTGACTGTTCCAATATTGAGGACACGGATATGTAAATTCTTGCTGACCATCGTCTTTGATGTTACTTCTGTTCAGTAAAGATGACTCCTTGCATTTGTAATCATCATGTACCTTTATTAGTCCTTTCAGGTAAATAACCTAAGAAAAAACACCTTTTGTGCCAGACACGTCCTCACTTTTGGTGTCAGAAAACGTCGTCAGCAGATTTATACAGTTCTTTGTAAAATAAGTCAGAGATTCTTAAAACATCAGAGCTTTGATCCAGTACAGTCCAGCCAGAGAACACTTTACCGAAAGGCCTTGAGATCCAGAGAGCAGAAGTGATGCTCAGGGTTTCATGATGAGCTAGGTGCTGAAGGCAGCTAAAATAATTGGAGTTGGTACCAGAACTGAGGTGGGATGACTAAGGTCACCGATCTTATTGGCATGCCCCATGTGCATGCTGATGTTTTTGCTTACTTCTCTAAGTTACTGCCTCTGCACCAAACAAAAAAAACCTTATCTCCATGTAAGGGTAACTTCATAGTTTGCAAGGATCTGCTGCTTTTCTTTAAGAAAAAAAAGAAAATTGTAAGGGAGAAGATAAAGTCTATGGAATTTATGCAGAAAGACAAGAATGCCATGCATTTGAGCAAGACCAGGTTTAGTCACTAGGTTTATCTTCTTGGATCCAGATTAGTAACTGGGTTTAATGACTCAGGCCTGCTGACTCCCAGGCCTAAGGCCAAAGCCAAGAGTCTGCCTGCAGCCCCAGGGCCAGCCCTCAGGGAACCAGCACCTCCTCCTTCTCTTGCTTCTGTTTTCCCATCTGGGTCAAGATGGGTCATCTGGGCATGGCCAGGCCTCCCCAGAAGATTATGCAGCATACATGCAGTTTTTATGTTAGAGGTGGACTGGCAGGAGAGGCGGTGTGTGGGGGTGACCCATGCGGGAGTGGCTTGTGTGACTGGCAGAGAGACAGACCACCTGGCTTCCTGAATCGAGAATTCGCCTCTTTGTTCTAGTGAATACTCCTAATTCTAAAATATGATCACAGGACTGAGTTGAAAGAGACCCTAGACCAGGGCCAGAACCTTGATGGCTGGAGACAGAGAGGCTCATACAGGGTCAAGGAGATGGCCAAGGTCACAGAACAGCAAGCTGCCGGCAGGATGGGGGGGCAGGGGGGGCTGGCTGGCCTTCTCCCCACACAAGGCTCCCACTAGGAGCCCATGCTCCGAGACATCCGGTTCCCCCCACTGGAAGGAAGCCCAATAGCAGGGGACAGTGATCACCATAAGGACTGGTTGATTGATGGGCCTGGGAGAGCCGGGCAGCACAGACAATGCTCCTTCTTGGCCTTGGCACTGGACCCGGGAGACTTCCGGAGTTTGAGGGAAAAAAATCTGCGTGTCACTGGAACAAAGTGTTTCTTCACAGAGCGGGGACAAATCTCAGAGTGTTCACCGCGAAGCTGTCCCACTTAGTGAGTGCCCGGGGCTGTAATGTTCTCTGATGGGACTGTTTATTGCATTCTTAATCTCAATCCCTCCTAGGAATTAAACTTGCTGGGGTAGAGTAACTCCCCCACCTCTCTCCCTAGTGGTACCTGGTACTCAGTGGTTGCTCAAGTACTATGTAAAGGTGAAATTGATCAGGGTGACCAAGAGAAAAGGCAGCTGTCATGTCCCCTCACGTACGGGGACTCGCCGCTGTTTACCCTCTTCTGTTGTCTCCTTGATTCTGTGGAAGCCACGCATGGCCCAGGGAAAGTTAGATTACTCATTCACTTCTGCATTCATCAAACTAGTACTCTTCACAAAGGAGGTTTTCGTAGCAGTGAAGGTCCTTGGATCATCTAGTCCACTTTTCTCCTGAGGCCCAGAGAAGGGAGGTAACTTACCCAAGATCACACAGCAAGTTGAGACCAAGGTAGACTATAGTACTGAGCTCTGCCAGGCTTGTCCCCTGCACTGACTGTGTGGCTAGGGCTAGTTTCACACCTTTTTACTCACACCCGCAGCCCTCAGGTCAGTCACACCCTACACTGGGACATAATGGTGTCTGTTGGACTTTGTCTACAAGGGAAGGAACACTTTAAATGCAAGGGGGAAAAAGTGCTCCACGTACCTCCCTGAGGTTGGCAGGGGTGGTGAGGGTGGGAAGCAGCTGGGAGAGGCCAGTTCTCCACCAGAGTCTTAGTTGCACTCCTGGGGACTCCTAATTTCCCAGTTTTTGCCATATGTATTCCTCCCATAGACACGGTTGCTGTGTTGGGACTCACATAACCCTCCCAAAGCGAGCCAATCACAGCTGCCCTCAGAGAAGTCATTGATAAGCACCACTCAATACAGTAACAGACTTTATTATCATAGGCTCCAAAATCACTGCAGATGGTGACTGCAGCCATGAAATTAAAAGATGCTTGCTCCTTGGAAGAAAAGCTATGACAAACCTAGACAGTGTATTAAAAAGTGGAGACATTACTTTGCCAACAAAGGTCTGAATAGTCAAAGCTATGGTTTTCCCAGTAGTCATGTATGGATGTTAGAATTGGACTATAAAGAAAGCTGAGCACGGACGAATTGATGTTTTCGAACTGTGGTGTTGGAGAAGACTCTTGAGAGTCCCTTGGACTGCAAGGAGATCCAACCAGTCCATCCTAAAGGAAATAAACCCTGGAAGGACTGAGGCTAAAGCTCCAATACTTTGGCCACCTGATTTGATGAGCCCAGTGATTAGAAAAAGACCCCAATGCTGGGAAAGATTGAAGGCAGGAGGAGAAGGGGACGACAGAGGATGAGATGGCTGGATGGCATCACCGACTTAACCAACAGGAGTCTGAGCAAGCTCCAGGAGATGGTGAAGGACAGGGACGCCTGGTGTGCTGCAGTCCCTGGGGTCGCAGAGTCGGAAACGACTGAGCGACTGAACAACAATACAAAGGACGGTGGATCGCCCGGTGGCTCGCAGACCTGTTACCTCCCACCCCTTGCCCTAACGCCCTTAGACGAGTCTCTGGCTTAACAAGCGCAACATGCCTCTTCGCTTGTCCTCGACTTCCTGCTACCTTCTAGGAAGACAACCGGACATGTCAGACGCGGTTCAATACGCTCAGCGGCTCGAGAGCTGTCCAGAGCTGTGCCTCTTAATTTGCCCGCTGACCGCTGCCCCTTCTGCCTCCTGCCCCTGTTCTTCGTGGGGGTAGAGCTGCGCCACGATCACCTCCAGGTCCTCCCATAGGCATATGCAGACGTCCCGCAGGAAGAAAGGGCCCGGGGTCCGCCAGGTAGGGTCCACGTGGCCCGCTCGCGCCCAGCGATTTCCGTTCTCTGCCGGAGGGCACGCGGCATTTGATGCCAGGTGGAAGGAGAGCGCTGGCTTGGCGCACACGCTGCCATCCGGCGGGCGGTCAGAGGCAGGTTTTGCAATCCTTCGGCTGGCGTGCGAGCCGCTCCCCGCCCTAGGCGGCCGGCCAGGCGAGCGGAGCCCCGGGGGCCCGCGGCTGGTGCGCATGCTCGGGCCGGCGGCGGGCCCGGGAGGGGCGGGGTTGGGCGGGGCTGGGCGCCGCCGGCGAACCCCCGCCCCTCCCTCTCCCCGTCCCGGGTTGGCCCCTCCCCCTCCAGGGGAGGACGCCCGGACGGAACCGATCGCGGCTGGTTTGAGCTGGTGCGTCTCCATGACGACACGCGCGGCGCTATAAGTAGCGGCGCGGCGGCGCGCCGGGCTTTGTCAGTTCCCTCTCAGCCTCCGCCGCCGCCGCCCCTCTGCCAGCGCTCCGGCGCCACCTCGGGCCGGCGGTCCTCCGCGGGAGGGAGCGAGGCGGCGGGCGGCCGGGCGAGCGGCTGACGGGGGCGGCGGGGCGGCCGGCGGGTCCTGCAGCGCTCGGCGGCGGCGAGTTGTCTCCATGGGGTCGGCCCCCCGCGCCCCTGCGCTCTGAGGTAAGAGGGGTCGCGTCCGGGCGGTAGGGAGGCCGGCGGGCGGTAGGGAGGCCGGCCGGCGGGCGGGCTGGCGGGCGGGCGCGGGGGGTGACGGCCACGTGTCCCGGAGGCCGGAGCAGACCGGCCGCCTGGAGCTGCGAGGACACGTGGTCGCAGAGCCCGGCCCGTCGGCCCTGGGGGTCCCGGGTGGAGCCGGGCCCCGACCCCTTCCGGCTCAAGGGCAACCTGGCACTGGAACGGCCCGGGGTTCACCTTTTCTGAACCACGTCAGTGAGGGTGTTCTGAGCCGGAAGCTCTTTGAGAAGCTCAACCCTTCAGCCGCTATTTTTTTTTAAACCCATGTGGTGGTCCGGCAGCAGGTGCAGGAGAGGCAGGAGGCGAACCCGGCACAGGTCTCGGGGTGCCGGCCGCTCGTGCACGTGCCGTGCCGTTCCGCCGTGTTTCCCTGGAATTTTCTTTTATATTTTAGTTTTTTTTTTTTCCTTTTTCCTTGCTGTGTGTACAGAGCGAATGACCCAATATAGAAAGCCACTCAGATCGCTAGAGCTGAGATAACCCGAGTGTAACTGATACTGTTCGGCCGGGCTTAGAAATGTTGACGGAATCTTTCAATGACTTAGTGATTTAAGAAAAGTCCTTAGATTAAGGTCAGGCGAACGACTAAGACGTAGGAGCCAGTCCCAAGATTTTCCCCAAACGGCCGACTGTTTGAAAATACGAAATAATGAGGGGAGGTGTGGGGAGCAGAACCTCTTAGGAGTGTCTAGTAGGGAGGACAGAATGTGCTGATTTCATTCAAACCTAAAATTTAATCGATTTGTAAAATTTTCCATTGCAGTTTGAATTAGTACCTGTCTTAACGTTTCCCAGTTGGCAAGAAAGAATTTCATACCAGAGAAGGACCATGTTTTGCTAATCCATGTCATTTTTAATTTAGCCATACAGAAAGAACACCCAAAGGTGTTCTAGGGTGAACTCTCTCTGTATCAAAAATTACTGAAGTAAAGCTTTGAAAGATACAAGGAAGCAAAATACTTAATAGTGGTGTGCTTCTGAGAAACACACACTTGCTAAATTAAAGCCTGAATGTTGTCTTTTTTTCTTTTTTTTTTTAAAGACCCTAAATGGCCCAGTCTATCACTGGTGACCCTATTTAAATGTTACTTATGTAGACAGAATGTGTGTGCTGGCGGGTTAGTTTGTTCCCTTCCCCTAAGGGCGAATTAGGAAACTAGGAGGTTGACAAAGCCAGCAAGTCACATTAGATCAAGTCTTGCAAGTTCTCCGATGCATGGGTTTGGATTTATGGCAGGCTCGTCCCCCTGGGCCTCTCGTAGTGTCCCATGCCAGAGCAAACGCGGCCCCGAACCATTGCCTGGCCTCTGCCAGTAGGCTGCAGGCACTGAAGCGGGTTGCACAGTGGAAAAGATGCCCTCCCTATCAGAGATTAAATAGATTAAAATAATAATTTTAAGGTAACACATTGACCAGTGTCACATTTTGTGAATGCCAAGGACAGTGGCTTTGATGGTTAAACGAGCTTTATTTTTGCTTATTCATAAATTGTTTGCTAATTCTTGTAATTCATAGTTGAGAATGATTCCCAGGTGATTATCATTCATAGCCAAGCATGTAAGTTAGAGTGCCTGTGAGGATAGTTGGGGTTCCCAGAATTGCTAGTTGAATAGGCAGTGCTGGTTTTAGAATATCGATTGCCATTCAGATGCAGCAGCTATAATATATTCTGTTGATTTTTTTAGATTGCATTTTTTTAAAAAACACATGCCTAGCATGAAAATTAGCTCATATCTCAGGAAAATTTAGAGCACTCAGTAAATTGTTAACAATGTCTGTTGGTCACTAAAAGTTCTTCTGTATAAGACTTAGCTGATGTAGGAAATAGCAAGGTGTTTATATGGCAGCTTTGCAAAATTGCTATAATAGTGTTTTAACCTTCTAAAGAAAAACAGGTCTGAAATAAAGTAAGCTAACTGTCATGAAGCTTTTTCCTTCTCAGTCGACTAAGTCCAGGAAAGTTTCTGAAACCTGTATTCTGCATTTTTTAGCAGGGATGTTTGGAGTGCCTTTTTTGAGGTGGACAGTACTATATATGGGTTTCCTTGGTAGCGCAGCTGGTAAAGAATCCGCCTGCAATGCATGGGTTCCATCCCTGGGTCGGGAAGATTCTCTGGAGAAGGGCATGGCAACCCACTCGTTTTCTTGCCTGGAGAATCCCATGGACAGAGGAGCCTGGCGGGCTACAGTGCATGGGGTCGCAAAGAGTCAAGCACGACTGAGTGACGTATTATGTATGGAAGTTGAGTGTGAAAAACTCTAGTGTTGAGTCTGTGAGGTCCTCATTCCATTGAGATTTATAGAATCATGGGACTTAAACCTAGGAATAATGGGATTTCCAAACCCAGGGAGTGAGCTGTCTGGAGGGTGCTTTAGTAGCCCTGCTTGTGTTGTGTGTGTGCTGTCAATACCTGATCTTCCAATTTAATGTGTTCTGAAGGTGGACAGCAGATTGTGTGTTTATCAAACATTTCCACTGCTGCACAGAGAGCACACACATCTTCAGTGGACTTGGAGTTCCTGGAAAATTGCCTTTGTGAAGAGTGGGCATAATCCCTTTAAATTCCATCTCTTAAGTTTTCTATGTAAGTATTTGTGATTGTTGCAAGTTTATCTTAGGAGTTACTAAGTATTAATAAGACTTCTGAGTAGATTTGTCTGCTCTATTTGCAGTTTGTTGTGTCTCAAAAAGACATCAAGAAACCATGAACAGCTTTAGTAATGAAGAGTTTGACTGCCATTTCTTGGATGAAGGCTTTACTGCCAAGGACATTCTGGACCAAAAAATTAATGAAGTTTCTTCTTCTGTAAGTATATGTGAAGTCCATGTTGGTAGTGCAGCTTTGAGAATGTTTAGGCAGATGAATGGGAAACTTCAGAGGGGTCTTATGGAAATGTCTTGTTCGGGAATTGGGAATTTAATTGGCTGCGGATCCTCCAGTGACAATAGTGATTATCATGTCCATGATTGATTAGAGCAGGGTTCATGAGAATGATGGGCAAGAGAAGGGAAGGCTGTGCCTTGGTCACATCTGTTAAATTGCTGATGGGTCTTCTGTAACCACTCTTACTGCAGGATGATAAGGATGCCTTCTATGTTGCGGACCTGGGAGACATTCTGAAGAAACATCTGAGATGGTTGAAAGCTCTTCCTCGGGTCACCCCCTTTTATGCAGTCAAATGCAATGATAGCAGAACGATAGTGAAGACACTCGCTGCCATTGGGACAGGATTTGACTGTGCCAGCAAGGTGAGCAAAAGCAGCAGAACTCAAATGATGTCTGTAATGGCCCTGGTGCTCTCAGCAGGGCAGATCAGAATTGCTTTGCTTGAGCAGAGGATGCTAAAGAGAGTGGGCATGGTGCCAGCTTTTCCATATATTAGCTACATGTGTAAATACCTCTTCTTTTTCAGACTGAAATACAATTGGTGCAGAGTCTCGGGGTGCCCCCAGAGAGGATTATCTATGCAAATCCGTGTAAACAAGTGTCTCAGATTAAGTACGCTGCCAATAACGGAGTCCAGATGATGACTTTTGATAGTGAAGTCGAGCTGATGAAAGTTGCCAGGGCACATCCAAAGGCCAAGTGAGTTACTCCATTTGAGGGTGGATCAGATACAGGACATGTATAATGTGAACAAACTCAAATTTCCAGTTAGATTTCCATACTAGTAAATTATCTGTGTACCAAATTAGACCACAGGGTATCAGAGCCAAGGAGTCTTATTTTAACCACGGCTGTAGGTGATCTTGTGTCGGTGGGAAATTTGATATACTTTTCTTGCTTCTAGGTTGGTTTTGCGTATCGCCACTGATGATTCCAAAGCAGTCTGTCGCCTCAGTGTCAAATTTGGTGCCACGCTTAAAACCAGCAGGCTTCTTTTGGAACGGGCGAAAGAGCTAGATATTGATGTCATTGGTGTCAGGTGAGATCTTGGTGATGGCACAGATGGAGATGAAGTATTATTAGACAATGCAAGTTTTATAAGTTTTCTCCCACCATGAATAGTTATTTCCAGAAATAGTAAGAAATAGCGTATTTTTTGTTTTGTTTGACACCAGCTTCCACGTGGGAAGTGGCTGTACTGATCCTGAGACCTTTGTGCAAGCCATCTCTGATGCCCGCTGTGTCTTTGACATGGGCGTGAGTATCTATGAGCCCCATGTGTGAGGAGGAGGGCAGGGATGGCATTAATAACTAGTCCCAGTTCTAGAATTGACCTTTGTAAGAGTCATCTCATATTACATATTCAACATTAACCTGCTGCATGCATTTTTCATGACTTGTTAATGAATCTGGCTGATTGACTTAATTTTCTTGACTCTAGGCCGAGGTTGGTTTCAACATGTATCTGCTTGATATTGGTGGTGGCTTTCCTGGATCTGAGGATGTGAAGCTTAAATTTGAAGAGGTAATTTATAACAAAATTACAATCTGTAGCTCTTAGTAGGTTCCTTTTTGAAATATTTCAAAACTTAAATGTTAAAACTAGTAACCAAAAGGAACTGTACAAACATGGAAGTAAATGTCTTGGTGTGGTATTTTGAATGACTTGTTCTGGTATTTTGAATGACTTCTGTGCTATTTAAAATTGTATTATGTTAGTTAATTAGTCACTCAGTTGTGTCCAACTCTTTGTGACCCCATGGATTGTAGCCTGCCAGGCTCCTCTGTCCGTGGAATTCTCCAGGCAGAAATCCTGGAGTGGGTAGCCAGTTCCTTCTCTGGGAATCGTCTCGAGCCAGGGATCAAACCTAGGTGTTGTGCGTTGCAGGCAGATTCTTTACTCTCTGGGCCACCAGGGAAGCCCTGTATTATCTTACTGGTTTTCTAAAATAACATGAGCCAATATTTTCAGAAGTCTTAGGAAAATTTAGGACTGTCACTGTGGAGTTAAGAGAACCTGCTGACTTTAGTACATTGGCTAGATTTTGTGCTTCCTTAGTACTTAGAAGATTGTTTTTTAGTCATTTAAGAAGGTAAGCCATTATTGCCACTTATTATTATTGCCACAAAATCTATATTCTTTGTTAAAATTTATGTGAATAGGAAGAATACAGAGTTTACCTTGTTAGTATATATTTATGTTAGATAAAAATATTTAGGCACTGATAATAAATTTGTCCCATTGCTTAATAAAATCACACCATAACATCTTATTAAAGAGTAAAAAGTCTTGAGGGGAATCAAAATGAAACCATAGGATATGCTGTCTGGTTTTCAGGGAGGTGTTTATCTTTTGCTGTTTGAAGATAAACCTCTGCTGATGGCAGCTCTCAATGTTTTTGATGTTTATGTGTTTCAAAGCACTGCTCCATGTGAGTTCTCCTTGATGACCAACTGCTCTTTTCTGTCTCACTCTGGTAGATCACCAGTGTAATCAACCCAGCATTGGACAAGTATTTTCCATCAGACTCTGGAGTGAGAATCATAGCTGAGCCAGGCAGATACTATGTTGCATCAGCTTTCACACTCGCAGTTAATATTATTGCCAAAAAACTTGTATTAAAGGAACAGACAGGCTCTGATGGTAGGTACAAAGATTTAATCATTGCATATATATATATATATACTGAAAGTTTGTACCTAAAATGGTAAAGTGGTAATTGAGACTTACTGCTTTTCTAATTATTTCCTTCTTTTTTTAAATTTGCTTTTCTAGATGAAGAGGAGTCAAGTGAACGGACATTTATGTATTACGTGAACGATGGAGTATATGGGTCATTCAACTGCATCCTTTACGATCACGCACACGTGAAGCCTCTTCTGCAGAAGGTACCTTCCAAATATGTTGTATACACCAGTTGAAAGATGACTGGTCAGAACAAGTGTAAGCAGGTGTGTATCTCTCTCAAATGTAGAGACCCAAACCAGACGAGAAGTATTATTCATCCAGCATCTGGGGACCCACCTGTGACGGCCTGGACCGCATTGTTGAGCGCTGTAACCTGCCCGAGATGCATGTGGGCGATTGGATGCTCTTTGAGAACATGGGTGCTTACACTGTCGCTGCTGCTTCCACCTTCAATGGATTCCAGAGACCCACCATCTACTATGTGATGTCAGGGCCAACGTGGTTAGTGACAGTGTGTGTTTGGTTCTGATAAAGAATTAGGTACCTTCCAGGGTTGATTATGCTTGTTCTTGTCTAATAGAATTAAGAAATTGCTTAGAATTAAATACTAACAATTATTTCTTGTTTTTCTCCTCATATTAAGAATATATGCTTTAGAAATTTTAGAATAATTACAACGAAAGGAAAATGCCTCAATAGTGATGTGTATATAGTTACAGAATTTTAAGGCACAGTTGATTTAGAAAAGACTGGTCAGTCTATTTCTGTACCTAGAATACTTTAATTAGTGCATGTGACTTGTGGTTTTCTTACCAAAAAGATGGTTCTGAAGAAATGCTTGCTGTAGTACTACATTGAATTGCTTCCTGATGACATAGTAACCAGAGATGTAAATAGGCTCATGAATAAGTTACTGTGTGCACAGTGTGGAGCCGCTCGGTTAGCGGTGACTCAGGGTTTCTGACTGCCGCCTCTGTCTCCTGCAGGCAACTGATGCAGCAGATCCGGACCCAGGACTTCCCGCCTGGAGTGGAGGAGCCAGACGTCGGTCCCCTGCCCGTGTCCTGTGCCCAGGAGAGCGGCATGAAGCGGCACTCAGCAGCCTGCGCTTCCACGCGTATTAACGTGTAGATACCACTCTTATAGCTGTTTACTGCGAGTTAGCTTGATTTAAGGGTTTGGGGGGGGGACCATTTAACTTAATTACTGCTAGTTCTGAGATGTCTATGTGAGTAGGGTTGGCACAGGTGCACCAATGTGGAAGACTGGGAGATGGGGTCACACTTATCTGTGTTCCTATGGAAACTATTTGAATATTTGTTTTATATGGATTTTTATTCACTTTTCAAACATGCTACTAAAGGCTTCAACTGCTGAGCAAGCGTTTGTGGCTTGTGTATCAGCAGGATGGGCCAGAAGCTTAGTGTTGTGACCGGTTTTAACAAAAAGGAATAAAGGATCTTGACATAACTTGGCATTGGGAAATTTTTAGTGTGTTCATTTTAGGCGGCTCACCTGAGTGTGTGTTATAGGTGGGAATTCATGGTTTTTTTCCCCTGTAGGCTGAGAAAATTGCCCCAGAAGACCGAGGAGTTGACAGGTTTTCAATGTTTTAAAAATCTGTGGAATACTTTTTCTGTTTTGACATTTTTATTTCAAGTCCTGGAAAAAGTGGCTGTGGCGTCTCAAAGAGTAGTGAGGGCATCTAACCCCACGTGCAGGGGGAGGCAAAGGGCGAGACAGTGGGCAGCCTCAGCTGTTAGTGGTTCTCCACCCTGGATGCTGACTGAGCTTGGCATGCCAGAGTCCCTTGTAACTAAGTGGTCTTTGCCTGTCACAGCGGCTGCCCAGGCGAAGTATACAGGGCCTTCTGAGCCCTGCCTTCCAGTCTCATATTTGCACCTTGACTTCACACACAGGAAAGGTACAGTTATAAACTAGCTTGTTACTACGAGTTGCAGCTCTTCACCTGACCTTTGCCTTTGTATTCTCTTACTCAACTCAACTTGGACCCCATACCTCAGAAAGAGGATCAGGCTCTCATTTAAATTTCCAAGATGGGAATTGTGAAACCCTGCTGTAGCTTGGGACTGGAGGGCAGGCCACGTAAAAGCCAGAGTCACTTGAGTAAGCCTCTCACCAGCCCCAGTCCCTGCAAGTGACATCGAGTATCTCTGTTGGAGGGACACAGGAGATAGCACACAGGCACAGACAGGGAGGCTGCAGCATCTTGCATCTCAGGGGCTGGATTAAGTACTTCTGATGCTATTAGTATCTTTACGAAGGAGTTGAGGGGAGTGACTTAGTTTCAGAAAAGCCACTTTCCCAAAGACCTGAGTTCCACCTGGACACAGCGCACACTGCCGTGACGGCTGTTGCCTCCTGGCCACTTAGCCAGACTAGGCCTTGGTTCATCACCACTCCTGGTGTCCTTGGACCTGAGAACCCTGCTCTAGTTGGCAGACCACTGAGTGAGATCTTTCAGGAGCCACAAAGAAAGTAGGTATGGCAAGTCTGGGCAGAAGAGGCGGAAGAACTCTGAAATGGACAGTCTGCCCCACTTCCTGTGAGCAGATCCTTGTCTGGGTCCTCAATCTGCCGACTAACATTCAACATAGAGGAATTGATGTTCTGTGTGGACTAGTGCCAGGAAGTACAAGCTCAGCACCAAGGTTTTGGTAAAGTAGTTTACTTTCAGAAGTTAGGAATAACAAAGTACCTTAGTGACAAGCGCTGATCATGGATTGAAAAGAGGAGAGGGTTTCCCCTCAAAAAGTAGGCTGTACTGAGGGTTTGGGAACTGCTCTTCCCTCACTTCAGGTAAAGCACAGTCTGACCAACCAGCCAGTGCCAGTAGGGACAGAAGTAGCCGCAGGAGGGCCCATGACACCTATGCTGCAGCCTCTGAACCTAGCTCCTGAGGGTTTGGTGAAGCCATTTGGAGTCTGTATGGTGACATGGCCTGAGCTGGCCCAAACGACCTCCCATGGCCCCTACACCTGGCCGTGAGCATGCAAGTTTAGCAAGAGGATGGAGAACTCAAGACAGCTGAGTGGGTGTCGACACTACCCCTGGGACCCTCTTAGAACATTCTAGGTGGTGGTGCAGACTTACCTACCTCTGATAAAGATGGTACTGTCCATCATTCGCAGACACTTCTAGACCTTGGTTTGAAGTGGACAGCTCAGGCCTCCATAAGGTGCTGACACGGTGCTGCAGTCCCCACACAGGCCCCCACTGGGAGGGGCTCCTGGTCCAAGGTAAAGGCAAGGCGGGCAGGCCTTGCATTCAAGTCACTTGGGGGTATCTCAAAACAGATTGCTGGGCCCACCCCAAACGGGACAGGGACTGTGGGGCAACAGGTAACCTCCTGGGAAAAGTAGAAGGTACTGATGCTCCTTGTACCACAATAAACCCAGGTTTTCACTGTGATGGATTAGGCCACAAAGCTATTAGAAGAAAACATTTGAAGTGAAAAATGTAAGGAGGAGAGGGGAAAGCAACACACATAGGAGTAGCCGATTTTATTCATAATAAAAGTTCCAATAAATCAATAAAAGAGGAACAATGCCATAGAAAGTGGGCAAGATGTGAACTTTTCACAGAAAACTTTGAACAAATTTTAGAGCTATGAGAATCTCAGCTGACAGTTTGGCAAAGATAGAAGAGTTCACTCCCGGCTGGGTAAGCGGGCAGGCTCACCCATGGTAGATGGGAAGGCAAGAATATGAATAACTTCTCGAGGGAATCTGGCAATTTAAAAAATTATCCAGGCTTCCCCGGGGCTCTGTGGTAAAGAATCTGCCTGCCAGTGCAGGAGACGGGTTCAATCCCTGATCTGAGTAGATCTCACATGCTGTGGGTCAGCTAAGCCCGTGTGCCACAACTACTGAGTGTGTGTGCTTTAGGATCTGGGAGCCACAGCTACTGAGCGTGTGCATGCTTTAGAGTCGGAGTCACGACTGAGCCCACATGCCCTGGAGCCTGTGTGTCACACAAGAAGTCACTGCAGTGAGAAGCCCATTGAACCACAACTAGAGAAAAAGCCCCATGCAGCAACGAAGACCCAGTACAGCCCAAAACCAAATGCACAATTAAAAGAATCCACATTTTCTTTGCCCCAACAATTCTAACTTATAAGAAATCTCAGACACAGCCATTTACTAGGCTTTTCATTGTGACAGTATCTATACAGCACATGTGAGAAGCAACCGTGTGTTCACCAGGAGGGAACCACAGATGATCACTGGGACACAGCCGCCGCGAGATGCAGGGTCCTGCCGAAGCTGGTGGGGACTGTGGGCGTGTGGTGAGCTACTGTCTGTGCAAAGAGAAACCAAACTTTGTGCACACGCCTACCTACCTGCATATACAGAAACTTCTGGAAGGACTGAGAGACGTAGCAGGAAAATGGAGGGCCCGAGGAGTGAGTGGAGACTGACTTCATACGCACTTGTACATGTGTCTATTGCTGAGTTTAAAGGAATTATATAAAATATGCTTCCCAGGTAAGGAAACAGAGAAAAAATCCTCAGTTATGGGCTCCTGTGCCCATGAGCTGCTGAACAAGGGCCGGTGAGCTTGGTCAGGGGCTTGGGTGGGCTTGACCAAGGCCTCCTCGGCAACTTTGCGGGGTGAGGGGGCTCGGACTTGTGCCCACCCAGCTCCGGGGGCTGATGGAGACATCAGAGCCCCTGGGGTCAAGGACTTAACCCCTACCTCTCCCTCGCCCCCACCCCCGCCTGGGTGGGGCGCTCTGCCCCATCTGGGGTCAGCCGCCTGGGGCCAAGGTCAGACCTGAGTCTGCACTTGGAACAGCCTGCACTGAGAGCCAAGCCGGAAGCGGGCGCACAGACCGCTGTCAGGCCTTCGACAGCCCTCTCTGGCCTCCCAGCTGACCACCCTTGGTGCCGCACAGGCTCCACTCAGCCCGCCCTCTGTAGCCCTGTGCTCCTCACACCCCTCACAGTGCCCCTGAAGATGGTGACCTTGCATTTCTGTGCGGACTCCATCCCTCTCTGTCAGGTGTTCTTAGGTTACTCTACTTGCTGGCTGGTCACCCTGTTATTTTATGTGACAACCCTATCGACAGGGATTCCAAGTCCTGGGCACCAGCAGCCCAGCTGCAGCTTCTGTTTGCTGTGTGTCTCAGGGAAAATCAGGTGCCCCCTGGGCCTCAAGCTCCTCACCTGTCAAGTGGGGTAGAGAGAGAACGCTCAGATACAGGCCAGGCTGGGGAGGGATTTGCACACTCAAGCCTAGACGGCCCTCCTGGCCACGGCCACCAGAGGGCAGCAGCGCCTTGTGCTTGAGACTCCTCTGTGGTCTTGCACTGCCACCAAGCTGTCAGGTCCTGCTTCCTTGATGGCTCAGTGGTAAAGACTGCCAGCCAATGCAGGAGACGTAAGAGATGCACATTCAATCCCTGGGTTGGGAAGATCCCCTGGAGGAGGGCATGGCAACCCACTCCAGTATTCTTGCCTGGAAAATCCCACGGACAGAGGAGCCTGGTGGGCTACAGTCCATGGGGTTGCAGTGTCCTACATGACTGAGCAACTAACACTATTTAGCCACTCAACAGATGCCGCTGATAGAGGCCTGACTGTGAAAGGAGGGCTATGGGCACTGGAACGTGGCCCGGCTCAGAGGGAGATCCAGGGCCAGCCACACCGGGTATCTAGGCTCTGACGCTCCAGACAGCTTGTCCTGGACCAGGTTGCTCCCCTGGAATCTTCCTGAGCACAGGTGAAGCCGCCACAGGTGAGCCCAGCCCTCATTCCTGCCTCACACCTTGGGAACAGCTGGTGGTCCCCCACAGCCTGTGGTCTCATCCCCTGCCTGTTCCAGGTGGGTGATGCCCCCACCCTGGGCTCCTGAGGTGCCCACACCATGCCTGGTGACACGGCGGGCCACCCCTCCTGCCCTGTCTGTGAAGACAGGCCCTCCTCTCCCCACATTGAAGCGTGGTGGCGTGGGAAGCCGAGGGGCACTGCCCTTATCTCCCCTCACCCACTGACCAGCACTTGATGCACAGGCCCAGGTCCTGCTTGTCCCCACATGTTGGGAGCTGGGTACCCATGGCTGCTGGTGTGCCACCCTCCCCATTTTTGCATGGCCCTAGATCCATGCTCTTCCTACCCCAGGTGCCTGGTCCCACCCTGGCTCTGGCCCCACTCTCTGGAGAAGCCGTGAGCTGTTTGCAGCCCTTGCTCTGAGCTGGAGAGTCCGGGGGGCAGGTCCTGGCCCATAGGTATCCTTGCCCTCCCTCAAGGCCCTGCACCCGCCCACCCCACCACCAGCTGACCTGCAGGGTCAAGGGCAGTGCCCCTGGCTCTCTGGGTCCCTGTTGCATGTGTCCAGGGTCATGCGGTTATCAGTGGCCAGGCTGGGACCTGTCCCTCTGCCTCTTTGTCTGGGGCCTACTGGGTGCAGTTCCAGACCGTAAGGTGGGCCCCCAATACTGACTTTTAAAAAAATTAATTTAATATTTTGGTGGTGCTGGGTCTTTTTTGCTACTCAGGCTTTCTCTAGTTGCAGTGGGCGAGGGGCATGTCATTGAGGGGGCTTCTCTTGGGATCAGCAGTTGTGGCATGCGGGCTTCTTTGCTTGGTGGCATGTGGAATCCTCCCAGGCCAGGGATTGAACCCATGTCTCCTACACTGGCAGGTAGACTCCTATCCACTGTACCACTGGGGAACTCCCCAACACTGACTCTTCATTCATTCACTCACTCATTCAGAACTTCTAGATTTTTTTGCCTTTTTTTTTTTAAGCTGCACTGCTCAGCTTGTGGGATCTCATGACCCCAAACAGGATCAAAGCCAGGCTGCTGCAGTGAAGGCCTGGAGTCCTAACCAGGAGGCCACCAAGGGAACACCCTGAGCAGCTAATGCCCAGCCAGGCTGGGCACTGGCTCCGGGGAGGGGAAGGGGTGAGCTGCGAGGTCAGTTCAAGGGGAAGAGTGCTATGAGGGAGGCAAATATGGGCACTGTGAGGGGTACCCAGGAGGGGGGGTGGCCTTCTGGAAGAAAGTTTTCTGCTCCATTGGTGTAGAGTCTTGGGAAAGGCAGGTGTGTGGGTATGCACGATGTTCATGGAGGCCACAAGCTGGGGACAGGGGCCGGGGCTGCCCCCACTGTGAAAGCAGCCTGGGCCAGCCGGGGGCAGGGAGGAGCTGCAAGGCTGGCAGCCAACATGGCCTCACACTGGTCCCCAGGGGCCACTCGCCTGCTGCTGACGCAGGCTGGACGCACGGGACCCTCGACGCCCAGTGTCTACGTGGGCTGTGCCTGATGCACGCGTCCATGGCACTGCCCCGCAGAACAGACACCCATCCCACACTGGACCCCGGAGTCCCACTGAGGGTGGTTTCTGCCCCGCCTGCAGAAACCACACTGCCTGTCGCCCTGCACACACACACACACACACACACACGCACGCACGCACACATACATGGTGTAAGGGGACTGTCGTGGGTGGGGGGGTAAGATAACCTGACTGGTTCTCCTTCTGCTATTAACTTCCTGGGACCCGAGGGGTATGGCCGGTTTCTAAGGGAGTCCTGAGTCAGTGATGGGCGGGCCTGTGGGTGGTCCCATTCCTTCCCTGGGGCAGGTCTTCATCGCCTCCAACTCCCTAAGGAACCGCCCTGACTTCTGTGAGCTTCTGTTGGGGCAGGGCCCACCAGGGCCCCAGATCCATGTCCTTCCCATTTGTGTGGAAGCACAGGGATGGCTATTTTATGTCTGTGTGACTGGGTCGTGGGTGTCTTGACGGGTGCTTCGATGCCCTTTTGAGTGTGTCTGTGAGGGTGTTTCTGGATGAGGTTAACATTGCATTAGCAGACAGTACTGTAGGGTTCGCCACCAGGGTGAGGACCTCATCCAAAGGGCTGACTAGAGCAGAAGGCTGAACTGAGGCTCTGTTCTCTGCCTGGTGGTCTTGGGCTGGGATGGCAGGCTCCTGCCTTCAGACCCGGACTAGAACGAATGCTGTCAGCTCTCCTAGGTCTCCAGCTGGCAGATCTTGGGCCCATTCAGTCCCCATAATCCTATCAGCCAGTTCCTTATAATGTCTCTCTCTTTCCCATCCCCCCACCCCAACCCCACCACCCATATACATGAATATGTATTCAGAGGGAGGTGCTTCCCTGTGGCTCAGAGGTAAAGAACCCACATGTAGGAGACATGGGGTTCACATCCTGGGTCAGGAAGATCCCCTGGAAAAGGAAATGAAAACCCACTCCAATATTCTTGCCTGGGAAATCCCATGGACAGAAGGAGCCTGGAAGGCTACAGTCCATTGTTGCTGCTGTTACTGAGTCGTTCTGCTGCTGCTGCTGCTAAGTCACTTCAGTTGTGTCCGACTCTGTGTGACCCCATAGATGGCAGCCCACCAGGCTCCCCTATCCCTGGGATTCTCCAGGCAAGAACACTGGAGTGGGTTGCCATTTCCTTCTCCAATGCATGAAAGTGAAAAGTGAAAGTGAAGTTGCTCAGTCATGTCCAGATCTTTGTGACCCCATGAACTGCAGCACGCCAGGCTTACCTGTTTTTCACTATCTCCTGGAGTTTGCACAAACTCAAGTCCATTGAATTGGTGATACCTTCCAACCATCTTATCCTCTGTTGCCCCCTTCTCCTCCTGCCCTTAATCTTTCCCAGCATCTGGGTCTTTTCCGATGAGTCTGGTCTTCGCATCAGGTGGCCAAAGCTTCAGCATCAGTACTTCCAATGAATATTCAGGGTTGATTTCCTTTAGGATCAGTTCATGGGGTTGGAAAAGTGACTTAGCGACTAAACACCACCACCAAGGGAGAGAGAGACACTCTGTTTCTGTTGCAAACCCTGCACCTGTGGTCACTCCCATCTGTGCCTCGTTACTGGGCAATATCCCCTGTTAGTAGCACCCCTCATCAAGGCACCATCAGATATGGCCTCGTGGTAGCAAGCTGGGTCCACCTGGCCCCAGGTCACCTGGCCTCCTGCTCTCATCCCATCCCTGCAGACACTGCCCATCAAGGTTTGGACTTGGCAATGCCACTGACCGCAAAGGCACTAGCAGACAGGGCTCACACTTTCTATCACAGGCGTGGAGTCCTAAAAGATATTAAGATGACTAAAAACAGCAAAACAGCCAGCGTCCCTGCTGTGGGGCAACCTACACACTCTGCCCACTTACCTCAATCACCTGCCTCTACCCAGGTGAGATTCAAGAGTGCTCACCTGGCCCATGGGCGGGTGTGACGGACACTGGGACCAGAACCCCAGTTCTGTCCACCCTTCCTGGTGCCATGCCCCCTGGGGGAGGGGCCCTTGTCACTGTGGGTGCCTCCAGGCACCTCACACTCCAGGCCAAGGCACTGAGAAGTGAGGTGGGTGGGAGAATTTTGCAAAGTTCTCTTCCCTTTTAAGGAAGAAATAAGCCAGGGCCACTTCTTGTCCTGTCTTGGAAGGCTCACGTGTCAACCGCACTTACCCTGCAGAGACCCCAAGGATTCAAGGGTGTGGGCAGAAGCTGCCTTGGAGGCCAGGGGCGGGGCGGTGGGGCAGCGGAAGGAACCAGGACATCCTCAATGATGCCCCCCAGATGCGGTGTTAGCCAGGCCGACAATGCATGGGACTTGCGGGCACGTGGTGCCCACCTCCCCACAGTTAAGGGCCTTCTGCTGCTTCTGAGACCAGAAGCATCTCAATGGCCACAGCCTGAGAAACCAGGCCTGCTCGCCCTCCCGGCTGGTGCGGATGCCCCGGGTCTCCGCCCTGCCATTGCTAGGGAAGTGAAGTCTCATGACTCTGCTGATTAAACCACGGGGCTGGGCTGGGGGCGGGGGGCAGAGAGGTTGGGGGGAGGGAGGGAAGGAGGCAGAAGCCTGGCCGTCAAACCCACCCGGAACAGTCATGTTTTATTTCCATGTATTTCTTGGCATTAGGCAGAGATGGAAGGAGAGGTTGTACAGGATTTATAGACACAGTGATGGCCGCAGGGACACAGGAGCGGCCCAGTTTACAGTGAGCAGCTGGACCCACGGAGGCCACCTGTCCGGAGAGCGCTCAGGCCACGGCAGCGAACAGGGGCTCTCGCGGGCCAACACAAGACTCGGACAACTCCCGTTTATTTGATCATTTTAATACAGGAAATGCCAGACCAATCAACAGGGAGGACAAACCTCACAGAGACACCTGCGCTCACGACGCGGACGGGAGGGTCTCCACGGCCCTGGGCACGCATGCATGTCCTTTGGAGAAGGGCAGATTGAGGGCATAAATACCACAAAATAACCAGGCTCGGGGTGGGGGGGAAATCACAGGCCACGAGGAAACCACGCTTCAAAGGCAATCGAGGCATTAAATACGGAACTTACACGTTACATTTCACTTCACCGTACGTATAATTTATATATTAAAAGAAAGGAGACCACGGTATTATATACGTGCAAGAGGTTTTGGTCGGAGGAAATGAATGAGCTGGGTGGAGCCATGCACGGGGAAGGCTTGCCCATCTCCTCTCCCTCTGTTCTTGTCCCCATCTTTCCCACAGAGTCACCCGCCATCACGGATCAATCGGCTGGCCTTGGCGCGATCTCAGAAAGTCCCACGGGTATCCTCGGCGTGTCCTCGGGGCTCCCTGTGGGCAGGGAGGTGCCCCGGAAGCGAGGACACCACGAGCCCTGCATGTAAACACATCCCCGGGAAGTCGCCCTGGAGGGACCGGGGCAGGGAGGGGGCGGGAGGAGGCCAGGTGAGGAGCGGGGCGCAGCCGCCGGGCAGGCAGGTGTGGTGATGTGTCGCCTGGCTGCCCTGGGAGAGCAGGAATGATTGAGGAGGCATCCACTTTTGCAAGCAAAGCTTAAATGGCAAGACAAGCCTGTGTTTCTCTGCACTGTCCAGACGCCAACCCCTTAGAACTGACTCGCACTGCTGGGGTCACACTGTAACAACCGGACGATGGACGGGTCGCTCTTGGCACCTTTGATGAATTCTTCCAGGGACAGTTTGCCTGCGGGAAGGAGGACGGGAAAAACAGGAGTTAGCCAGTGCTCGCTGTTTGCCACCCCCAGGAGAACACGTAGACAGCTCCTGCGTCAGGGGAAGCCTCCTGGGGTCCAAGTCTTGAGCTCTCCTGAAGCTGGATGCTGTCCAGGCTCCACACGCTTTGAGGGCATTTCTGGAAAAACCTGTTTGGCTTTCACTGATCACTGGCAGTACTTCTCCCAGGATACATACAGATACGGGAGGGACCTAGGTTTGAAGCAGACCCTGCGTTCTGGCAACCTGTGCCTTGGGGAACCTCCATCTTGCCTCTGCAGCAATAAAGTGAAATAGAGCCAGGGACCCCAACACAGAAGCGTGGGGCCGTGCCCAGCACACTAGCGGGTGCTTCGCTCTGCCTCCACGGGCAAGCGACCCGCCGCTCCACGTCCCAGGGTCTCTACCTGTGTGGAGGGATCACAGCCACGCCTGTCTCAAAGGCATGAGCTCCCCCAAAGCATCCCCAGCAGGAGAATAAACCACCCCAGGCTAAGGGATGGATTGGGAAGGGGAGCAGTCACCCCCCCCCCCCGGCAGAAAAGGAGGCTGCTGGGATGATGCAGAGGGCTATTAGGCTTTGTGACTGTTCGTACGGTTAACAGGGATTTACCCTGACCACTCAGGGCAAGGGGCTTCCCTTGTAGCTCAGTTGGTAAAGAATCTGCCTGCAGTACTAGAGACCCGGGTTCAATCCCTGGGTCAGGAAGATTCCCTGAGAAGGAGATGGCAACCCACTCCAGTATCCTTGCCTGGAAAATCTCATGGACACAGGAGTCTGGTGGGCTGCAGTCCATGGGGGTCTCAAAGAGTCGGGCACGACTGAGAGATTAACACTTTACTTACTCAGGACAAGGAGCTAATGAAAGCACTGGCCTCTCCTCTAGGCAGTAAGTGGGGCTGGCAAGGGGCTGAGGGCCCAAGCACAGTCTGTCCTGCAGCCATCGGGGTGCTCCTCGTGCTCCACCAGACTCAGGACCCGTGGCCTCAGCGACTACCTGTGCTTTCCGAGGGCGGGTGGGCCGGGAAGGTGGGAAGGGTGTGGGGCAACCCAGAGAAGGACAAGGGCTGAACTCTGCACACCCCTGCTTCACTCTTCTCTCCTCCAACATTGCCTCTCCTGCCCCCTCCCCAAGCTTCAGGGCCCGGATCCCGGGGCTCACAGGAGAAGTGTGGGCCCTAGTTCACGGACAGCCTGGGAAGATGAATAGAGCTGAGCGGTCAGAGCAGATCCTCTGGATCCTCACAACCACAAGAGACTGAATTATTATCTCCATTTCACAGAAGAGTAAACCGAGGTTCGGAAAAGCCAAGACTGGTGGAACAGGTCTATTGAAACCAAAGCCTGTGCCTTGCTACCCTGGAGGGCGGAAGACATGTTTTGAATCTGCCCAAAGGCCACGCCAGGAGTGAAGCTGTCTTGTCTTACGTTGATCGTGATTTGAAAACTGTCTCCATGGGTTGATGTGCCTGCAGCCCCATCACGCCCTTACGCCGCTGGCTCAGTCTTTTGCCTTCATCTGCAAATTGCACTTTAAGGTTTGGCCGGGGTGGGGCAGGGAGCGGGGTGGGGAGGTGTATGGGGCTTTCCTGTGCAGTCACTTATTTTCAACCCCCAAGCACAGCGCAGCGGGTATTTTCTCTTTTTCTTTTCTAAATGCTGCATTTCTTTATCTGTCAAAAGCAAATCTGACAAGGCTCTGGGGCTGCACTTCATGCGGATCCATCCTGTTTCATGGTTACCCTCCCCGGCGTGGATCCCAAAGAAGCTCACGGCTGAGGCAGAGAAGGAAACCTGGGGCACGTCCTCCCTGCCAGGCCTCCACGGCCGCCCCTTGGAACCCACCACTTCTGCTATAGTGTGGTCCCAGCGAGCCTGGTACAGCTGCTGCAGGCCAGCACCTCCCAACAGAGTCGCCAGGGCGACTGGGGCCTGGAGGAGGAATGGTGGGGGGCCATCCATCCATCTACCACCCAGGAGCCTGATCCCAACCCCTCGGGGGCCCAGGTGCCATGGACACACCTGCCTCTTCTCCCCTGGGACATGCCCATGGGCCCACGGTGTCTCCATTCTAGACAAAAGGAGACTGCTGCTCAGGGGGCAGGACACAGGCCCAGGTGCTCCTGGGCTCTGAAGCCCAACCCTCAGCACAGCTGCACTGACTGTGGAGGGCCAGGGGTGGGCTGGGCAAGGTCCCAGAAGCTGTGGGGAAGGGCCCCAAACGCCTCTCTGCTCCCAGCAGTGCGCAACAGACATGTGGGGTCCTACCGTCATTGTTGGTGTCCATCTGCCTGAAGATCTTGTCTGTGCGTTTCTCCGGTGTGGACTCATCCTCCGGCATCTTCATCACGGACGACACCATTTTATATATCGCCTGCAAAGGGGCACACAGATGTGTGTGCTTAGAGGTTCCGGGTGCTCCTGGGGGGATGGGACACAGGCCTGATCTGCCCCCCCACCCTCGCCCACGCCAGGAGGAGAGGCCGGGCTGCCCACCAGCCTGCCCACCAGGATCCTCCCCAGCTGGAATGTTCCAGGGCTTTTCCCAATAGTGTGCATGCATGTTGCAGACAGCACGTGAGCAAAAGGAAGGCAGCCTCATTTATGTGAGGTTCAAGAACAGGTGAAACGACCCACTGTGACTGTGGCAAGACTGGGTTTGTCTGGGGGTGGGAGGTGGGACAGCTCTCAGGCCTTCTGGGGGGGCTGGGGACGCTCCCTAACTCACTGGCAGTGACACGGACATATGTGTGCATAGTGTGCATTACACAGCACGCTTAGCCACAAATATTTGACTATGGGATTGCTGTATCTCAGTGAGAAGCAAAAAAAGACAGCCCCTGAAACTCACAGGGGAAACCATATCACCAGCCCCAGAAAGGACAGGCCTGGGGCCCATGGGTCTCTCCAGCAGGACCAAGAACCTTTTCTTCAGGACACTGCCGTCCATGGGCTCAGCACTGCACAGGCCATTTCTGTCCAAGAGTTCAGGCCTGTGGTGTGTGCATGTGTGTATGTGCATCAGTGTGTGTGTATGTGTGTGTGTGTCCAGGGGGCCATGATGGAGCCGGTGACCAGCAGCTCATAAGAGTAACATGCGAGCAGGAGGGGGCTGTGCCACTGGGGGATTCTACAGGGAAATGGCTTGACTGATACGCTCATTCCTCAAACAACAGACCAAGAACAGCAGAAACCTGGAAGCTGTAACGTCTTAAAAAGCAGGTCTACAAAACCAAACCAAAAAGAATGACCCAAGTGAGGCGTCTTGTATCTATTACACTCTGCACTCCTTGGTCCCTCTCCACATGCAGGCAGGGGTGACCAGGCCTCACCGCACGGCAAGTGTGTCTTTCAGGGCCTCCTGGGACAGCACAAGGCACTCGTCTGAGTGCAGAGAAGGCAGAGCCAAGACCCTCCCTGTCTCTGCTGGGCTGTGATGCACTTGGAGCCCAGCCCATTTTGATGAAGGTGTAGCAGCCGGGCGTCCTGCTTAGCCTCTGCCAACATGGGGGGAAGTGCTCAGGGTTTGGGAACTCGGTCTGGGGGCCTAGCAGCCAGATCCCGTCCAGACAGGAGAGGCGCTCCTCATGGCTCTGCCGTGTCAACAGTAAGCTTTGGCCGGGGTGGTCTGCTTGGCCAGTGACAGACGAGGGTAAGGGCCAGCAGGTGGGTCGGGACAGGTGATTCCCCAGAAGCCAATTTCTTCCTTCAACCGCTGCTTGTTGCTAAGAGCCAGGATCAATGGCTGAAGCACAGTTTCTCCTGAACCTGTGCTGGTTTATTCTCATGGCGTGAAAACCACCTGTTTGGGAAACCAGTCAGGCTACTTGCTGCTGATCAAGGAGTTCCTGAGTTTGATATCCTCTGTGTGTGGTTTAGTCCAGAAGTTCCCTCCATGTAAACTGGAGAATACCTCCTCTGAGGAGTCCCAGAACTGAGCTCCCAGGCTCCAGGAGTGGGGGTGCGGGGGGTGGGGACCCAGGGAGCAGAGGCTCTGTGGCTCTCTACCACACACCCGGGAACCCAGGGGAGTGAACAAAACTTTTTTTCTTGCCGGAAAACAGCTTCTCTCGCCCGCGTTGTTGACAGGAGAGAAGAGCTTTGAGGTGGTGCTTCCTGGGCCAGAGCTTATTCTGTCACCATTAATGGTTCAGTTTGGCTTTACAATTGTGTGTTCCTGAGGACATGACAAGCTGTCTGTTGCATTCTTAAATAGGGGAATATGAAAAGGTCTTGGCAGGTGCCTTCTGCCAGTGTCAAGGGTCCTTTCCATTATAATTCTCAACTCTGTTACTTTGACCACCTGATGCGAAGAGCCGACTCACTGGAAAAGACACTGATGCTGGGAAAGATTGAGGGCAGGAAGTGAATGGAATGACAGAGGACGAGATGGTTGGATGGCATCACTGACTCAATGGACATGAGTCTGAGCAAACTCTGAGGGATGGTGAGGGACAGGGAAGCCTGGCGTGCTGCTGTCCATGGGGTTGCAAAGAGATGGACATGACTGAGTGACTGAACAACAATTGTTAACTCTCAGGATATCACACCCCTGCCGCCCCCCCCCCCCCCACGCCTAGTCTCAGAGTTTGTGAAGTGCAGAAAATGACACCCTCCTCCCCTTAGAGCTGGGAAGACCACAGCTCATCAACGGTGTGTAGGCCAGGGCTTTTTACCGCCAAGGATCCGCAAACAATGGTCCTTCTCCTGCATTGGTAGGTGGGTTTTTACCACTAGCTCCACCATAGCTCAGTCGGTAAAGAATCTGCCTGCAATACCGGAGACCCAAGATCGATCCCTGGGTTGGGAAGATTCCCCCCTGGAGAAGAAAATGACAACCCACTCCAGTATTCTTGCCTTGAGAATCCCATGGATAGAGGAGCCTGCAGGCTACACAGTCCATGGGGTCCCAAGAGTCAGACAGGACTTAGCGACTAAACTGCCACTGCCGCCATCTGGGAAGCCCAACAGTGGCAATTCTCATCACCATCTGCAAGGGCCCGCTTGGTCAGGTGACAGCTAGTCATTTTCCAAAGGTCAGGAAAGAGGGGCAGGCAGCCACGTGGCCCGGAGGATCAGAAGCGGGCCTAGGAGTCGCGCGCTGTCCAGAGTGGGCGGGGTCTGCCAAGGCCCCGTCCCTGGCGCCAGCCCCGCCCCCTGGGCGCACCTGCACGATCTCCAGCATCTCGCTGCGGCTGATGTAGCCGTTGCCGTCGAGGTCGTACATGCTGAAGGCCCACTTGAGCTTCTGCTCCAGCTTGCCCCTCGAGGTCACGCTCAGCGCGATGATGAACTCCCTGAAATCAATGGTGCCGTCGCCGTTGGTGTCGAAGGTGCGGAAGACGTGCTCGGCGAACTTAGAGGCGTCGCCGTAGGGGAAGAAGTTCGCGTAGATCTTCTTGAACTCGTCCACGGTCAGGTGGCCGGTGGGGCAGTCCTTGAGGAAGCCCTTGTACCACTCCTGCAGCTCATGGTCCGTGAACTCCGTGTTCTCCCGCAGGTCCTGCAGCACTTCGGGTCGCAGCTTGCTGTTTTGCTTGCCCATGGCAGCCGGCAGGGACACCTGCAAGACAGAGGCCCGGCTGGAGATGGGGTGGGGGGCGGGCGCAGGGGAGGGCTCCCCACCGTCCATGGCCGCCCAGCGGGACGGAGGACTATCCCTCGAGTGTCCCCGACCAGTGGCTGGAGAGGCCTGACTCCAGCCATCATGGTGATGAGATGTCCCAGCATGTGTAGGGCCCCCCCACAGAGAGGGGGACCCCGGAGGGGAGGGGGACCCTTAGCCTATGTACCACCAGGAAGGCGGGGTGCTCCAGTGGAGTCAGGATGCTGGCCGCCTGGCACTGCAAGATCTATCCTGACCTACAGAATTGGAAACGTGGAGAAAATGGCCACATAAAATCAACAGGAATGAGGCCCTTATGGAGTGCCCAGCAGGGTTTGTACAAGACTGGAGGCTGAAACCCTTCTTCTCATCACCCTCATCAGCTCCCAGCAAAACTGTCACTCTGACTGTAGCCCACACCCTGTGTTCTGAGCATTTCTTTCCTCTTTCAGGCACCACATTCTGATTTTATCCTTAGAACAGGCATCCAGAAACTTTTAAGGAATCCCTTCTTGTTTTGGCCTCTGAGAAACCCTATGGTTGGGAGCATGGGGTGGGGGTGGGGGAAGTGTGGATCTGGAATTAGTACCAAAAGGATGTCTCCAGTGTGCATAGTAAAGTCCCAGGCAATTGCAGGCATGCAACTCCAGGCATGCATGGAGTTTTCCCCTAATGCCTGCACAGAAGACTGACCCTGCATGCATGCTACATCGCTTCAGTTGTGTCTGACTCTGTGACCCCATGGACTGTAGCCCACCAGGCTCCTCTGTCCACAGGATTTTCCAGGCAAGAATATGGGAGTGGGTTGCCATGTTTTCCTCCAAGGGAGCTTTCCAATCTAACTGGTGCCCTTGAATAGAGGAGCTTGGGATACAGACCCAGAGGAAAGGCCATGTGAGGACACAGGGAGAAGATGGCTATCGATGGGCCAACGAGAGAGGCCTCAGAAGGAGCAAGGCCTGCTGACACCTTGATCTCAGACGTCAGCCTCCCAGAACTGTGAGAGAATACATTTCTGTTTTTGAAGCTGTCCAGCATGCAGTGCTAAGACAGCTGTCCAGGGACCTGAGCTGATAACACGTGGCATCAGTGTCCATGGGGCAGAAGCCTGTGCTAGGGGCTGTGCAGTTCCCAAAGGCTTAACTCCTGACCTGCCGGTGTCAGGGACAACCACAAGAAGGTCCATGGACGTGGGACACTTTGTTTTTAATCAGACACCTCGCCTGCATTTGTCCCACTTCACCAGGGAGGAAGCCGACCGGGAGGCTCTGGAGGCGAAGCCAGCCCTCGGACCCAATCGTCCGGCCCCGTCTCACAACTTCCTGGGGGCAGCTAGGGGAGGACAGTACTGGGGAGGGTGGGAGGACAATGTGGTCATGAACATGGCCTTCCTGGCTGCCTTTGATAGTCAACCCACATCCTTTCCCTAAAGCATTCCTTCTCTTTTCATCATGGAAACGAGCCACCTTCCGGGAAGCTCTGGGCTCAAGAGCTCAGGGTCGGTCCTTTCATATCTTTTTTTTTTTTTTTTTGGCTGCACGGCACAGTTTGTAGGATCTTAGTTCCCTGAGCCTGGATCGAACCCTGGGCCCTGGCAGTGAAAGCACCGAGCCCTAAACACTGGACCGCCAGCGAATTCCCAGGATCAGTCCCTTCAGAATCCATTTGTCTCAGTGAAAACCAAACCGCCGCTCAGAACCACAGTATCAGATGGCTTCAGAATGTGTTGGCGATTTGTATTCTTTAAGATCCACAAGATGCCAAACTCCTAATTCCTCCTCCGCCTGATGTAACAAATGTTTATGGAGAGGAAGGGACCATATCGGGGATGGGACAAGGACGGGTCAACACAATTGCTAGGAGGTGACAGCCAGAGGCTCCGAAGTCTGCCTGGGGAGGCTTCAGCTTTCCCAGCCCTTCTCACATGTCCCCGCAGGCAGATATGTGAGGCTTCCCAGTCCTCTTCCCTCCCCAGGCCTGGCTCAGAGTGGGCATCAGTGTGGGGGGAGTGGGTCTTCCTGCCATGGTGGTGGTGGTCCTGGTTGTGTACAAACACCTGCTAACTCTGGAGGCAAGTAAGTGTGTTAGTCACAGTCGTGTCTGACTCTTTGTGATCCCGTAGACTGTAGCCCACCAGGCTCCTCTGTCCATGGGATTCTCCAGGCAGGAATACTGGAGAGGGTTGCCATTTCCTTCTCCAGGGGATCTTCCTGACCCAGGGATCGCACCCAGGCCTACTGCACTGCAGGCAGATTCTTTATTATCTGAGCCACCACGGAGGTGGTCTCTGGCAAAGCTGGGATCCCAGCAGAGCCTGGATGCATCCTGGCCCCTCTGGGGGAAGCAGTGCAGGGGGGCCTTTCCTGAGGGTTCTGGGGCTCACGGGATGGCAGGACTCTGAGATGGGCACATCAGGCATGGATCTTGCCTTTGAAAAGAGTTCTTCAAGGCCGGAGCACGTGGGAGGCAGGATAGGCACCCACATTGGTTCACTGAAGCATCAAAAACCCCACCACAGTCATTCTAACTGCAGCCGCAGTTCATCAAGCACTCAAGCTGGGCCAGGGGCTGTGCAGATCATTTTATAAATGGTGAAACCGAGGCCTGGGGGCGGTAAGTATCTTTCCCTGGGTCCCAAGGCTGCTGGAGCTGCGATGTGACTAGGATGTGACCAGGAGTCCATCTTGAGCTTGACTACAGGGCTCAACAATTGACCTTGAACCCTGGGAGGTGGGCAGGGCAGGCCTGGCACTTCCAGCTATACAGAGAAGAAAAGAAAGGCAGGGAGAATTTGAGGGATGTGTTTAGGAAACAAAAAAGTAAATTTTAATTTGGGGGGAAAACTATCAAGAAACCGTGGGTGGAAAAACATGCTTTCCTGCCATTGTCTTGAAGGTTGAGTGAGTAACATCTGCGGCTGTTAAAGTCAGGGCTGCTGGGAGACGGCATTTTTTAGGACGGTGTGGCAGGAATCGATCACTGAGTGTCCAGCCTTCTTTAGGAAGACCTCACGGCTTTGAAGCACGCCCCCCCCCCCCCCCCGCCCGCCAGCTGCCACCTTTGCTTTGATTTTTGACCACAGTCAGCTGAGTTAAAGGGCTGACTTAGAGCATTACCCTTTAAAAGTCAGTGGCATGTACTTTTGCCATAGGACACTGAACGATGAACTCCCCAGGTTGGTAGGTTCCCAATATGCTACTGGAGATCAGTGGAGAAATAACTCCAGAAAGAATGAAGAGATGGAGCCAAAGCAAAAACAACACCCAGTTGTCGATGTGACTGGTGATGGAAGTAAAATCTGATGCTGTAAAGAGCAATATTGCATAGGAACCTGGAATGTTAGGTTCATGAATCAAGGCAAGTTGGAAGTGGTCAAACAGGAGATGGCAAGAGTGAACATCGACATTTTAGGAATCAGTGAACTAAAATGGATTAGAATGGGTGAATTTAACTCAGATATTATATCTACTACTGTGGGCAAGAATCCCTTAGAAGAAATGGAATAGCCACCATAGTCAATAAGAGTCCAAAATGCAGTACTTGGGTGCAATCTTAAAAATGACAGAATGATCTGTTCGTTTCCAAGGCAAACCATTCAATATCACAGTAATTCAAGCCTATGCCCCAACCACTAATGCCAAAGAAGCTGAAGTTGAATGGTTCTATGAAGACCTACAAGACCTTCTAGAATTAACACCCAAAAAAGATGTCTTTTTCATTATAGGGGATGGAAATGCAAAAGTAGGAAGTCAAGAAATACCTGGAGTAACAGGCAAACTTGGCCGTGGAGTACAGAATGAAGCAGGGCAAAGGCTAGTAGAGTTTTGCCAATAGAACCCACTGGTCATGGTAAACACCCTCTTCCAACAACACAAGAGAAGACTCCACACATGGACATTACCAGATGATCAACACCAAAATCAGACTGATTATATTCTTTGCAGCCAAAGATGGAGAAGCTCTATAGAGTCATCAAAAACAAGACTGGGAGTTGGCTGTGGCTCAGATCATGAACTCCTTATTGCCAAATTCAGACTTAAATTGAAGAAAGTAGGGAAAACCACTAGACCATTCAGGTGTGACCTAAATTAAATCCCTTATGATTATACAGTGGAAGTGAGAAATAGATTCAAGGGATTAGATCTGATAGATAGAGTGGCTGAAGAACTATGGACGGAGGTTCATGACATTGTACAGAAGGCAGGGATCAAGACCATCCCCAAGAAAAAGAAATGCAACAAGGCAAAATGGTTGTCTGAGGAGACCTTATAAATAGCTGTGAAAAGAAGAGAAGCAAAAGGCAAAGGAGAAAAAGAAAGATATACCAATTTGAATGCAGAGTTCCAAAGAATAGCAAGGAGAGATAAGAAAGCCTTCCTCAGTGATCAGTGCAAAGAAATAGCAGAAAACAATAGGATGGAAAAGACTAGAGGCCTCTTCAAGAAAACTAGAAATACCAAGGGAATATTTCATGCAAAGATGGGCACAATAAAGGACAGAAATGGTATGGACCTAACAGAAGCAGAAATTTAAGAAGAGGTGGCAAGAATACACAGAACTATACAAAAAAGATCTTCATAACCCAGATAATCACGATAGTGTGATCACTCACCTAGAGCTAGACATCCTGGAATGTGAAGTCAAGTGGGTCTTAGGAAGCATCACTACGAACAAAGCTGGTGGAGATAATGGAATTCCAGTTGAGCTATTTAAAATCCTCAAAGATGATGCTGTGAAAGTGCTGCACTCAATATTCCAGCAAATTTGGAAAACTCAGCAGTGGCCGCAGGACTGGAAAAGGTCAGTTTTCATTTCAACCCCAAAGAAAGGCAATGCCAAAGAATGCTCAAACTACTGCACAATTGCACTCAACTCACACACTAGCTAAGTAATGCTCAAAATTCTCCAAGCCAGGCTTCAGCAGTACATGAACTGTGAAC